TTCTCTCTCTCTCTCTCTCTCTCTCTCTCTCTCTCTCTCTCTCTCTCTCTGCATATCTGCCTGTCTCTCTGTGTGTCTGTGTGTCTGTGTGTCTGTGTCTATATGTGTGTATGTATCTGTTGGTGTGTCTGTCGGTGTGTGAGTGTATGTGTCGGGATGGAGTCAATAACATCTCTAATAGAGAACATTCAATGAGCTTCTGTGGTTTAAAGATTCCCACAAAATTTATGTGGAAAGTTCATCCCTATTGTAAGGTAGGGACCACACTGGCCCTTTAAGAGGTCACCAAGTCATGAGAACTTTGTCATTTAAGGATTAATGGGTTTCCCCCAAAGTAACCCTATAACCAAGGCAAGTTTGACTTTCTCTCACCATCTGACCTTTTTCTCCATGTGATGCCTTCAACCAGCTTAAGACTCTGCAAAAAGCCTATCAACAAGAAGGTCCACCAGACACAGCCCCCTCACCTTGACTTTCTAACCACTAGACTTTAAGAAAAACATCATTTTCTTTATAAATCCTCCCAGCCTGTGGTACCATTATAGCAACAGAAAATGGACCAGAAGGCCCTCCTGTTGGAGACTGGAGTCCCTTGTCTGGTAACTCATTGGAAGACACTAAGTCTTGGGTAGAACACTCCTCCTGTGAGGCTGGTGGACCAGCTGCCATGTGCACAGCCTGACCTAATTCCTGTCCAGAATGGCTCTTGTTATCCAAGCTTTCTTGCTCTGCTCTCAAGACCTTTCATGACACAGGTTCCTTAATACTCCTGTTGCTGTCCCCAGAACCAGAGAACCCAGGATATCTTGGATATCTAGTAATATTTACTGTGTATGAGGCTCCCTCGGGCTTTGCTGTCTGTTGTTTTAGCTGTTGCTTCCTTCTGATAACAGTAAAGAGGAAACAGGATGAATGTTCCCTCCTAGACGGCGTTATTTCTACCGAAGCCTGGGGAGAAAGGCAGAGGGACAGACAGTGCCTCTGGATTACATGCCCACCACAGTGTCAGGTACATACAAGGCACGCAGAGGTGAACGGGGTCGTACACAAGATTCATCTGCAGTTTTCAAATGCCTTTTCATTGAGTCTCTCTTACTTTATAGGAGTCATCTTGGGATGAGGGAGGAAGGCTCATTCCATGCCACCCAGCTGGAGAGACTCGGAAAGAGCTGTCAGGGAGTCCTAGGAGGAAGTAAGAGTACATATTAGCCCTGTGACTTACTCGCCTAAGATAGCAGTGTTTCAAGTAGAGAGACTCCTGCAGGACCAAACAGGAGGAGGAGGAGGAGGAAGAGGAAGGAAACCCCAGACCTTGTTATCAGGAAGGGGAGGTGGTTTCTCACAGCTGCTTTGGGCTCCTTTCCTAATGGCCATCTATCTGGAAGTGACAGGATCACTAATACTCTTCAGGAGATTATGTTCGTCTTAAATTCACTGAGAACAGCAAACCTTAAGTGGAGTTCGAGGTGGAATACTTACCCCACTGCGCTAAAGTACTGACTACAGACTGGGGGAAAGTCACCAGCCATCAGAACAGAGGGCCCCAACCCCGCTCCGACCGATTTACATTATACAGCCAGGTAAAGCTTCTCAGTCAGGGGGCCAGCTGTCACCTGACCTTGGCCAAGAGCAGAAGCGAGCACGTGAAAGGAAAAGGGACGGTGAAACTCTTCAGACAGCGAGTGGCAAAGGGAGGCTCTGCAGGCCTTCTGAGTTCCTCTGTCCTCTTCAAACACTGCTCATCTTTGGGAGGAGCCTGTTTGAATCTTCCTATCAGTTTACGGGAACATGGCTCTCTTAGACTGAATTTAATGGAAATCAGCTTTTATGTGGCACTGATGAGTTGTTTAAGGCAGAGAACTGTCTTCAGGCTTAAAACACAGCTTGATATCTTTACCAATATATATGCTTTATTAGAAATAAATTTTAAGAAGAACCGGAGAGAGCTGGAATCATTTCTTTTTATGTATAGCACACGCTTTATGAAAGAAAAATGGAGTCCTTTGAACTGTGGTGTAGATCATCTCTGACCTGATGAAAAGTGTACTTTTCTCTCAGTCTTGATGTATTATCGCCATGGTTACAGGAGGGTGGCAAATGGGTCTGCTTTTACTGCTGTCATCAATCAGACAGCTGTATGCCAGTTCCAATGCACTTTTAAAGCAGACTTGGACAACCAGAAACTTAAATAATATCCTTGTATCAGATACCAGCAAACCTTTCATTGGAGCCACTAAAAGTCCCTCATAGAAAATGGACTTTCAGGAACTGGAGAGCTGGCTCAGTGGTTAAAGCACGGGCTGCTCTTGCAGAGGACCTAGGTTCAATTCCCAGCACCCACATGGTGGCTCACAACCATCTGTAATTCCAGTCCCAGGGGATCCGTCTCCCTCTTCTGACCTCCATGGGCACTGCATGCATGTGATGCACATATATAAACACCCATACACATAAAATAAATAAATAAATCGTTAAGTTTAAAAGATTAAATAAACGTTCAGCTTGCATCCCAAAGGTTAGCTTTCATAACAATGCATTCACCTTTGGACCTTCAGCGTTAAGCTCCTTCCATGAGATGTTGATATAATACCAAAAGGAATCTGTGTTGACGGCTTACGAAACACACACAGCAGTGGGAGAGTCCTTTCTTATACGGTATTAATCCAGGATCCAGTAATATGAACAGTGGGGTTTATCTTGACAGGTAAGTCAATTTATTGCTGAGCAAAACAGCCAGACAATGCTGTCCTTGTTACTGAGCCACAGGTGTTGAAAAGGCCAAGCACACTGAACGGAGAAATTCAGCATCATCCGGCACGAGTGGATGATGGTGACGAGGAAGCAGAGCAGGGTTCGTTGGCAAGGCAGGTGCTTAGGAAATTGAAAAGAGAAGCTAGACCTCCACAGTGAAAAGCAGCTGCTCGGTTAAGGTTTTATGGCCCCACCAGACTACGCCTTGAAACTTCCTGTTAGTCACAGAAGAAGTTATTCTAAGACAGTTTTTAGCAGACTATAGTAAAGGTGTTGGATGCAGACTTGCTCTGAAAGCCCATTATGGCCAGATTAAGAACAGGAAAATCATGTCATCTAAAGCAAACACTTGCTATCAGCCTCAGAACCATTTATAAACCCCTCCAAGATCCACGGCAGAGTTCCAGCCCATATTTCTTAAGGTGCCTGCCCGATTCCCTTAGGGATTATTGTATGGAAGTGCTTCTAACTGGTGGAGCTGAGTGGTATAAACATGTGGGTCATAGCCGTTTACTCAGTGAGAACTGTTGTGCTATTCACATCACTCCTGACAGGGCCAAGCACACTCGCCCCGCCTCCCCTTGTCCATGGGGGTATTTTCTAATGTAGCCAACGGATTCCTGAAACTTCAGCCATGTGCTCAGAGCCCATATATGTGTGTTGACCTATATCCACCTGCCTCTGATAAAACTGAATTTGTAAATTAGACAATGTTTTTGGAACTTAGCTGACCCCACAAGTAACTGGAAAAAGAGATACAACTCTAGCCCTGTGAGGGAATCTTCCAGCAATGAGTGGCAAAAAAAAATTTTTTTTGCTTGAAATCAAACCAGTGATAAATGAAAGTTGTATCACATGTTGATAATATCTTAATACAGATGTTTAAAAAAAATAAACACGGAGATGACGCTAAAAATGAACAAAACCATAGACGAGAAAATAGGACAAGAGTAAAGACTCTCTTGGGCAGGAATGCTTGGTACCGCGGCTGGAGCTAGCATCTTACATAGTTGCACCAAGAAACACATTCCGGGTGCAGAGCAGTTGGGCATAACAAAGTTCCGTTTGCCAGACTACTCCGTGTGGGCTCTGTTGCTCCCACGTGGTGGTCACAGAGGGTGTGGTCTCAGGTGCTTCAACTCTGCCTTGGCTTCCTTGGGCCCCAGCTGTGGTCATCCTGCACACCCAGCCCTTTAACGCAACACTCACTGCCCGACCCCCTAACGGTACAGAGACGTGCAGGCTCGATCTCCCGTCAGTGTGCACCAGGAGTGGAGCGTCACACTGCTTTGTTCCCTTTGCGTAACCCAACCCCTTCCCCGCCCCTTCTCCCAGCCCCAGCGCTCCCGAGGTTTTTCTAGTAGAATCCATGAAGGTGGTGAGTATCACTGAGTCCATCTTCTCCTGCCCTCTCACGCAAACCCACTCTCCCTTTCTGCCCACCTTCCTGTCCTACTCCAAGGAACTAAGGTCCTTTTCTGTATGAGGTCAGAGGAACCTCATCAACTCACGTTGAGGTCACCTCACGGAAGTGGGAGATGCTCAGCTGACTTTACTCCAGAGTTTTTACACCATGTAGCCCCCTCTTTCCTGACCAAACCCCCGAAGGTCCGCTCCTGTGCCGGCACCGGATGCCGCGCGTGGAGAGCCCATTGTCCAGTCTCTTTCCGGGTAACTGCTCACTGTTCACACTTCTCTGGCTTTTCTTCTCTTATTTTAAAAGTCATTTTTCTGTTATCGTATTCTCTTCCAGAACCACACAAGTCTTGCCCAAAAGGATGTTACAGTTTTCCCTTAGACATGGCATTATATTTTAAACATTATATTTTAAATATTGCATTCTCATTTGGATACATTAAAGCCAGAGTACTCTCTTACATGTCAAACATAACCCTATTAATCTTCATTTTTAAGTTACTGTTGACTCTAATTTTACATCTTCACACAGGAAACTCCAGATTCCAGATCTCCCTTTCAGGGAGAGAGGGACTTGATCTTTTACAAGATTATCTTCTGAAATATGAAATATAGCTTCTAGCGAGGGGGAATTTTTAACACTTTAAAGGAATCAACCTGATTAAATTCTCCAAAAAGTTATTCATCACACTTAGCAACAATTTAGTGCTGTTCTGAAATTTCCTGCCATTTTTGGTTATTTCATCAGTTGTAATATAGAACTTACATGTCTGTAGGCACATTGATTGATTTCTGTCCTTTCAATGGCCTGTTCGGTATTTCAACATTTGAACAGGGAACAACAGCTTCCCACGCTCACTCTATTGCCCCAATTTTCAATTCATCAGTTCATTGTCTATTGAGCACTTGTGATCTAGAGTCCCCTGCTCTCCATGGGAAATATGTGACCAAGCTCCCACCCTAGTAGTTGACTGAAAGCATGAATAAATAGTACCTAAACACACACGTGTGTGTAATATTACCAATATTTTATAATAAAGGTTATTAGGATGAGTTGATGCTAACATGCTTAGGTAATAAGATGAAGTGAGGTGGATCACAAGACCTAGGTATCATGATGTGATGCCAGGCTCACATATAAGAGCTACTTGACCACAAGCCCTGGGAGCTCATGGTCAGTGAGCCCTGAACAGGGATCACAAGTGCAGAACCACTGGCAGAAAGAGGTTGCTGTTCCTTTAAGGAACTGCCAGCTCTTTAATTTCTTTTATGAAGACAAGCAGGGTTGATGAAGGTGACTGAAAACAGCATACATGAGCCTTGGGGAGAGTGATGGAGTTCTGAGAGTGCCAGAGAAGGTGGTCCTGGAGAAGAGGGTCCAGACGAGCTGCAAACAGCTATGCCTGAGCTTGAGGCAATAGGGTGTCTCACTCCATGAGCACTGTCGAGTCTATGTAGTTCCAGGACTGACGGTGTGTGCTGGCCTGGGTGTGAGGCTGGAGATGAGGCCTTGCCAGACAGGAGTAGGAAACACAAGAGCTAAAATAGATTTGTGCATGTGCAATCGGACAGGGGTAGAGAGCCTGGTTCAGGGCAGGGAGGGTGTGACACCCAGCAGAGGTGCTGACCCAGGAGAGTAAGAATAAAGACCACAGGACAAGATAAGGGAGGGGAGGACATAAGGTCCGCACAGAGGCTGAAACAAAGGTTCAAGATCTCAGCAACGCAGCAGGCTGGATGCTGAGCTAGCCTAGGGTATGGTGAAGTGGAAAAGGAGTTCCCAGAGCTGACTGGAAGGACCTAGACTCAGAAGCCACAGAACAGAATTGGGCAGCATTGAGAATGTCCAGCTACGGTGTGTGCCCTCCGGGAAAATGGTGCATCGTTCACTCAAGATGTATTTACTGGGCACCTGTTTTGCACCAAACTCGGCTCTAGATTCAAAATCCCTGCTCTTCAGAATTTTGATAGCATGAAGGAGTAATTCAGGGAAGAGGGAGGAACCAAGCATGCCAGAGTGCCCCATGGGCGTGGGTCAGTTCGGAGTTAGTGAGGTTGGTCATGAAGTGTCAAGTAATGGCTCTTAGCTTGGTGATGGGAAGGACCTCCTAAAGATGGAGATGGGAAGTTAAGAAACTTGAATTCAACAATATCTTGTTGCTGTTGTTGTTGTTGTTGTATAGGCATTAGAAATGTGAAGGCAGATGTAAGTGGAGCCCTGTTGCACAAATAAACAGAGGTATCAATAAAAACCAACCCAGAATGATTTCTCAGGATGCCAAAAAAGAATTTGGTTTTTACAGTTTTTCCCTAATCAATATCAGATGTTTTTATCTTAAATAATAGCTGCAAAATAATTTTTAAAAAGGCAAATGCCAAAAATACAAAAATACCAGCAACAGATGGCCAGTGGAGTACAGCTAATGTGATAATACAGCAATAGTCTATTTTCTCACATGGAAGGAAAAATATTTATGAGGACAGAGGAGAAAAATGTACATTAAATGACAGGAGCAACTTCCGCTGCTCTAGAGACAAACACCATAATTCCCTTGGTGTTCGCCTTGCTATTGTAAGAAAAAGAAAGAACTTAACATTATATATATATAAAAAAAAAGACAACAGCAACAATAACAACAACAAAACTACTTTTGAACTAATTTTTCTAAAGAAAAATTGATACCTCCATGTTGAGAATCACATTTTTAAGACATCATAAATTGAGCACATTTTGTTATATTGTATATACTCTTTGAGTTCTGTTAGTAACAAATGTTACAGTGTGTTGATAGAACCCAGTCTTGGTCCTCCCGAGTCTCTTTTGTGTCTGAAAACCATTAAGGTCTAGGAGACCTAGAGTCATACTGAAGTAACCCTTCCATTGAGGTATCCCTGCTTAAGACAGAGCTTTAGGTAACCAGTGGTTTCTAAGGGCTTACTGACAGATGTCAGTACTAGTCCAATCTATATTAAAGAATGGAATGGGTTTACTCTCATTAATGACAAGGATAATGTTTCTTTAATAGCTCTAAGGCATCGTCTACCAACCTGTGAACTTGCACAAGTCTGCTCAGTTAGAGCGACCAGACCACATGCCGACATCTGAAGCAGCACAAGGATGCTGAGGAATCCTCTGGTGGACTGGAGGGGGCCAGATAGCTTCTCTGGGCAATTTTCCTGGCCAGTTTCATGTCTTTAAGAGTTAGAATGGGGCGGCAGTGGTGGAGCATGCCTTTAATCCCAGCACTTGGGAGGCAGAGCCAGGTGGATCTCTTTGAGTTCGAGGCCAGCCTGGGCTACAGAGTGAGTTCCAGGAAAGGCACAAAGCTACACAGAGAAACCCTGTCTCGAAAAACAAAAACAAAACAAAACAAAAATTGGGGACTGGAGAGATGGCTCAGCAGTTAAGAGCACTAGCTTCTCTTCCAGAGGTCCTGAGTTCAATTCCCAGCAACCACATGGTGGCTCATAGCTATCTGTAATGAGATCTGGTGCCCTCTTCTGACCCACAGTCATACATAGAGCCAGAACACTGTATACATAATAAAATAAATCTTTAAAAAACTTAGTATCTTTAAAAAAAAAGAAAAAGAAAAAGAGGCAATACCTAAAGTGTGTTCATTACATTAAATAACGTCTATGAATGGCTTTATCCTGGATAGTGGTGACTTATGCAAGGGCTTGCTAATGACAGAACCCCCTAAAGGAGAAGCCACACACACACTGCTATAGCTGATATGAGCTGAAGGTTAAGTACTGAGGTGGGCCTTTCTACTGAGTTTTTTCTGGCTCTGAAAAGTTTTCCTCCAGAAAAAGAAATATGCTGCCTGACTTTAAAGATGGCCATAAATGTGGTGGAATAAAGAGACAAATAAAAGGGTTACCTTGTGGACAGAGGTGGTAATCTCAGCCCTTCCTGCCGGTACTCATAAACACACTTGACTGACCTTAAATCCTGTCAGCAGTGGGAACACAGAGCCATGGAAGGAACCCTATGCCATCTGAGGATAGAGACCGCCACTGAATATTTTTAAACATTCAAATGCTTCAGATGCAGAATCTCCAGATTGTCTATAGCACCTTTCCCCTGGGTGGCACTTGGAATTTATAAAACACTCTCCCATGTAGTTTACCTTTTTTTCCGATGTGAGGAGAACAGAATGCTCTTCTCTGCATTGACCCATAAGGGACCTAGGGATGTTGTGTGACCCCTAACTTCTCTACCTGTCCCTTGCAGCAGAGGTCTGAACCTTAGGTCTCCCAGTCCTGTGTTGTTTTCTGCTACTGTTCAGTCACTTCTTGCTAGTTAGCACAATGTTATTCAGACTTAGCCGAACCAAGATCTCCTAAGAAATGCAGAACTGGCTTAGGTGAAATGATGATAATGATGATGATGATGATGATGGTAATGGTGATGATGATAGTAATGGTGATGGTGATGATGGTAATGGTGATGGTGATGATGGTAATGGTGATGGTGATGATGATTTGATGATGATGGTGATGATGGTGATGATGATGATGGGATGGTGATGATGATGACGATGGGATGCCGATGATGGGATGATGCTGATGGTGATGATGATGTTGATGATGATAATGATGATGATGACAGAAGCTAGCAGTCAATAAATAAATGTTAATTATTTGAGGGGCACCATCGGAATTTGCATGTGCATTGCATTTGATCCTTGTCGAAAACTCCATGAACAGGACAACATTACCATCTTCATTTTATAGGTGCTAAGATTGGGCAACAGGGAAGAGAGGTAATTTGTCCAGATCGTACAGTCCATAGGTTGTGCTGCCAGTGCATGAGCCCAGTCGGCTGCCTCCTCTGCAAGTACCCTCAGGTCCTGCACCCCCAGGGTAGGGCTGCTTCCACAGCTTGGCTCCACTGGTGTACCCTCAGATCCTGCACCCCCAGGGTAGGGCTGCTTACACAGCTTAGCTCCACTGGTGTACCCTCAGGTCCTGCACCCCCAGGGTAGGGCTGCTTCCACAGCTTAGCTCCACTGGTGTACCCTCAGATCCTGCACCCCCAGGGTAGGGCTGCTTACACAGCTTAGCTCCACTGGTGTATGCTCAGGCCCTGCACTCCCAGGGTAGGGCTGCTTCCACAGCTTAGCTCCACTGGTGTACCCTCAGGTCCTGCACTCCCAGGGTAGGACTGACTTCCACAGCTTAGCACCACT